ATGCACAATTACAGTTAGGGGGTGGGAATACTCCAAATGCCGTTGTCCTATTATTAGCAATGCGTCCTGTTTAAGTAACTTATGTACCCACCTAGACTGATGCCTCCTGCTGCGTCTTCAAAGATGAAGTCGCTACTATATGTGTTTACGCAGACCCCTAAGAGTGCCTTTATCTAATAAAAAACGTTTGTTAAGATATTCTAGTGCGTCGTAGTTTTTTGGATTAAACCAGTCCACTCAGATAAGTCTTCGACCGCGTTTTACGAGAAATGCAACCGAAATTTCACAGTACCTTTTGCGCACCGTTACAGCCCTTTAAACTTAACCTGCGTTGATTCTGGCAAGCATTCCAAACAGCCATTGGATTTTAGTAAGGCCAGCAGGCATAGCTTGGTTTCTAAGGTAAAAGATAGAACTCAGTTGCTTGGTAGGCCCAGGTGATGCCAGTACAGTGGCTGACACAAGTTCGCAAAAAAACTTCTCACTATATTCAAATCTTGAATATTATCATTTAGACAATCTCGTCGCTGATTTCAGCAGCTGTATCGCTAACGCCATCTTAGCCCCGTTCCCCACCCCGCCCACACTGCACTTCCTAACCCCCTTCCCATTCCTCCTCCATCTCTCCCTCAGTCGACCAAGTTGGCGAATATCATTCAAGACGGCGAGTGGACAAGTAGACTTTAGCGAGGGCCCCCTAGCCTATCCCATGCCCTCACCTAAGACGACGCGGTCACCACAGGCGTAACTCACCTGCGTAAAAGCACCCTTTTTAAATTGTTTCAAAAATTTAATCAAAGCACGTTTCAGTAAATGATTGCTACAATAACTTAAATGTGGATCAAGAGTGATGGTATTAATAACACCTACTAAGATAAGTATGTAAATCCACATGTTAAGGAGGCAACAATTACAAATTATTAAGCTAATTTTTAGTTATATAAGTGGCTACTCTTGTTGTTCCTCAAAATATGCATTCAAAGCTTCTGGTGCAGAATTCGGGAGCGTGACAATATCTAAAAAAGCCGTGATTCATTGCTTGAGAGGAAAACAACACGCTTACGACTTCCATAAAAAATCTTCGTCAATAGTGTAATTTTCAAATTACGAAGAAATTGAACTTATATGGAAGTAGTATTTTTAATTTGGGCGAACCACTTTTGAACTCCCCTTGTGGGTACGAAAGAGAGTTTTGCTTCACGAATTTGGTCTTATCGGCTTCAAACTGTCGTCAAACCCCCTTCTATGCAAAACCTGCATCTTAAAGTCATTTTTCTTGACTATGGGGGATTTTGAGTAATAGTGACACGTAAATGAACTGCAGCGATTCTATCTTCTATAGCAAATATCTGGCGCATATAAATTGATTATTATCTATAGCCCTTTCGAATTTTAAGCTGCATAATCCATTTTTTATGATTTGCCTTCGTGTAATATCGAGTTTTATATTCGCGAAATCATGTTTTGTTTTCACCCAGTTTGCAGCAGAGACTGACTTAAAGACCTCAAAAAGAGCTTATTTTTGATGCTTTATTCAATAACGCTTTAATCTCCTCAAAGCTCCATCAGAATATCGTCCAAGTAATAAAGTGCAATCGTCTGTTACCCCTAATGTGGTAGTAGTACATCAGCATTAGTGTACCTAGACCTAATCTCAGATGGTCATTACCTTGGGAATGAAGCAAGTCACATGAAAATTTCTCAATACTTCCCTAAATTTACCAGCACATCTACCTGTGATGGCACAAAACCGCAAAATGCAAAGTAACAGCACAAAGACATTTTGGCAGTCTTGCACTATTTGGTTAGGGGAACTTGATTTTGTTTCCCAAGGTGCAAGTACAGTGCCCCGAGAAGACATAGCACATTGGCAGAACATGCAGTGTTGGCGTACGGTAAGGCTTAAGGCTACTAGCATGGCCCCGTGGTCAGGCTACTCGGCGAAGGCACAATGGTCGTGTCCCTAGGAGTCCCATTACCAAACCAAGAGTTCAGCAAACAATTAATGTATTACACAATAATTCATTAACGTATGGATAGAGGAGTTACCAATGGGAGAGTAGGAACGCTAGCCTCTTCCTTGTAGATACCAAAAATTGCCAAAGCTGTTTCGTAGGCGATAGTAAACTCAAAATTTGGATTGGCTTGCTTTCAAATTTCGCAGTTTATGCAAATCATTGACGTTAGATATTGACTCGTTTAGTGCTAAAAGCAAGTCCCTTAGTTATATCGCAAATGCCTGTCAATGGGACTAATTCCCAATTTCTTAACATAATGTTAAATATTTCAACTTTGGTTTAAGCACTATCTGCAAACGATTTATTAAATGGATTGAAATTAGTACTTGGGGTTAGGAAATTTTGCTGCTGCCTATTCCGAGTGGTTAATGCAGGCACTCCTCCATGTGTTTACTGCACAAATCTAGTCATATGATTAGTTTTAGCAATTTTAAATGAAATTGATAGTCTGATTTCGCCATTGAAGTCATTACTGTAAATGGCTTGAATTAAATAAATAGCTACTCCTAATTTGTGCACAGTGAGCACGAAATTGCATTCGAAATTAAGCAGTTAACAATAAGCTTACTTAGCATCAGTCAGTCACTGGCGCGATGTCATCCTTGCAGATCAAGAATGACCATCCACAATACCCTAGTTGCGAGCATCGAGGCTGCCAGAAAACCAGCTAAAGCTGTTGATTGGCCTCACGCCCTTTTTACAATTGCGCGTCAATTTTTCGTGTCTATAGGAATGCCAAGTGCACAAAAGGGGAAGTTTGGCCTTTTAGGCAGGTCAATCCAGTGAGTACACCTAATGAATCGCAATTAATTAATTAAATTGGGTCTAGGCTATTACATTGGCCCGTAGTCTGAAGAACTCACTCTCTACCTGTTTTAGTAAATCGCACTTCTCCAACAGGAGTATTTGAAATAATTACATATTTTAAACCAAGTTAATGTCACACACACTAAGAATCCTACCCTAAAAGCTAATCTTTGAATCAAACTGTTAGGTAGTGGAAGACGGGGAGAAATGCAGCCAAATCGTTCGCTTGCCGTCTGCACTCGTCTGTAGCATAAAATTCGCGTTTGTGTAAATTCAAGGGATTTTCCAATCGCATGTATATTTCTGTGAAGGCGGATACGATTTGAAGATATGGTACTCGAAAAGTGAGGACTAAGGAAGTGAACTGTCAAGTTCCGACAGAACTCCTTACCAAATTAATATACTTATTAATTTGCTTCCTTTGCCCACATTTTCGCCCTGCCAGAGTTCAAAACATCAAACTTTTATTTACACCAAAGCGTCACGCTGCCAAAATAAAGTTGTTTCTCTGCTGGTGTCAGTTGGTTACTTATGATTGGCAGTGAGAACATTTGTGGTGGCTAAGAAGAAAATTAGCGCCTTTTGTTATCACATGTGCGCATAACTGACTGGGTTCTCTGAATTCATAATCAACCTAATCTTATGCGCCACCCTTTAGCATGATTCTATTATCCGTCAGCCAGAGATCTAAATAAATCCCCATGATAATCAAATTTGGTTTGAATACTTCCAGTGTGCAGAATATCAGGTGATTTTATGAAGAAGTAATTAGTGAGCTTCCTTAAAAGTCGTGAAAGTGGAGAAAATCCACAAATCCTGTTTCGGAATAAAATGGCGCCGTCGATAAACACAAATTCAGTTGTATTCCTCTAGTCGGTCATGTAGCCTAATCGTAAGACACCAATTCTGGAAAATCAACGGCACTTTCTGCTGATTAGGACAGAAATCGGAAATCACCTTACCTTTCTATCAGTTGACCTTTAACTAGCCATCCCGGACTGCCTAGTTGTTTATAACTCAAAAAAGTGATTTGATGCCTCTTCTGATGCACACTTCACCAGGCGGTCTCTTTAGTCTTAAAGAAACCATGCCTTTAGCATCTCACCCTTTTTGAGTAATAATAAGTCTTTTTCCGCACTGAGATGGCTTGTTACAAATTCGTGGGAGACCTTTGAGTCAATCGTGTCCTATTTATTTACTGTCTTAACGTAATGAGTAATTTCAATCAACAAGTTAAGCTTTTGTGTTCTAAAGGCTTTCTTTAATTTACCTGCGATAGTGATCCCTGTTAGTCGACCCCGAAGAGAAAATCACTGCTTTACTTATGTCCCTGCCCTTGGTTATTGTACGAATGTTGTGCAGCGAGCCCCGCTTGGGCATTGTCCTCTAATCCTAACAGAGGATCGACTCAATCCCATGAAGGTAATTCTACCATATTCAGCCTTTATTGCCCAGAATTTTCATTTATCATTATTGCTACTCACTACAGTTAACCGTAAGTCGTTTGCCTGCCCACATTGCCTCTGCCTCCAACCTCCTTACAGAAATCACATATTTACTTCAACATAGGAAATTGGCAAGCATGGAGGAAGTTTGCATTCCAACCCCGGTTAACGCTTCTTTGATACGAACCCTCAAATGGTATTGTGGGCTTTTAAATTTCCCGAATTAATCCATGGATTCGTAGCATTCGAAGACTCTGTGCTATTACAAAATGGATTTCTCTGCACTTTCGGCTTTAAATCATTTAGTAATTCAGCAGACCATACGGCATCCCAGCTGATGTCAGTAATGTCTATTTATTTCGAAAGATAAACAGTAATTTTAGACAAAAGCGCACTGATCTCTTTTTTTCAGTCCTTGATAGAGTATTTCTAAAATCGTTAATTTTTCCAGAACCAGGAACATGGTGGTCTAAGTCTGATTTAACTGAAACATTGACATTCTCTTGGGAGCAGATATCACACCAATTAAATATTTCCAATTCAGTATTTAACAGTAAGATAAAGCGTTAAAACCGGTGATTTTGTCACCAGGGTGTTGTCTAACCACATTGTAGTCACTGTCACCGAGGCGAGTATTACCGATCTGAATGCTAGAGCACTTGGGTGTTGGGAATTTGCATTTCTCCCAGCCAACGCTTCTTTCCTTCTCGAGAAAATTGTTTTTTTTTAGCTATTGATTGATTGTAAGGGATTTCGGTGTAGAGCTCTTCTGAGTTCACTTGCAGCATTTGCTTTCGCAGGGTGCGCTTTTTTCCACAGCCCTTTGGCTCTGTTTCACCCTAAATGGACTTGTCGCGTCTCGTAGTAAGGTCACGTTTAAGTCTTTCGCTTTTTGCATCTTCTTAGTTAAAAACAAATTTGTGCATATTTTATACAACTACAAATATTAATATAGATATCCTGTTGAACGGTCCACTTACTAAGCGTACCACCAATAGCCCATGCCATTTCGAACATTCCCTTCAACGGGATCTGTTTGAGCCTAATTTAGTAGGTATTAAAGGGACTGATCAAAGGAACATTGATTTCACTTGATAGCTTTGTTTACAGAAATCGAATGAAATAAATGACTGTGAAATTATGGACAACTATGCAAAGAAATAATATGCACGTCCAGGCCACTACACAATTAAGAGAGCAGACGTCATTTTGAGAAGTCGGTGTGGTGCATTGTAAAATGAACGGACTCAAATACTTAGTCGGGCACTGATGAAAGGTGCTACTTACGGTACTGTACTGTGAACTTTCATTGTGTTCCTTCCGGCTTATTTCCTTACCATTCGATTTGTTATGATATGGAAAGCACAAGCAGCGAAATGCTGAACATCCGAGGTCTGACTGATTTAACTGTGTATCGTCATTTTAGGGATCTTTATTTCAATCAAAGCTGCAGCAATCGAAACATCGAATTCTGCTTCAACTCGATTTTATAAGCCTCAATCAATTTTTAGAAGCATTCCACGCTTTTCTCTCCAATTTACCATGAAAATCCAAGCGGGTCCCTATGTTGAAGCGGGATTTTAATAGAATTACACTATTTGAATGAATGAAAAGGCGTTTGAATAAGTAGCGAAAGAGACGATAAGGTAATGTGAAAGGAATGTAAAAATAAAAATTATGAGGCGAAGTACACGAGACCCTTTGAAAGATTGCGTTCGTCCGCTGCGTTCTTTGTTCAATCTGAAAAAAATAAGCACACATTAAGCGGTGGTTGACTAGCAAAAGTGAGATGCAGTTTGAGTCAGCCAAGTAATATTGACACTAAATATTAAGCAGTCGCGATGAGGGAATAGATAGCAAATATCACATCCTATTTGACACGAGATGTGGGTATTACGAAATGCACTTAAAAGTATGTGCGGAGGTTGAGGCCAACCGTGTTGCTTGTAGCTTGCTTAGCTCGGCTTTCATGAAAGCAGTAAAATACGAATGGGTCGCCCCGCTGCCTATGTGTAACAACTTGTAGTCGATTAGACAAAGGTCAGTATGATCACGTCTTTCAAAAGCCAACATAGTATACTTCGGGTCCTTAAAATCTATAGTACTGATTATTTATTCAAAAATTACCAGTATTATTAATTTAACATATTTCCAAGGCGCTTTTTAACTCAAGCCCATCCATCCAGGACCAACGTGAGAGATCGTTTGACTTTGTTACCTGCTTAAGAACATCACTTATTTTCAGCTGTTTAACCACGCAAAAGATTTGATAAATGATCTAAAAATAATGCACCGATTAAAATCGGTGCTTACTTACTGGTTCACATTGGTGGCTCTAAGAAAGCACTCGTTCTAACGTTAATGATGAATTATCTCGAAAGTTTATTAACTTACTCTCAACAATAAAATTCAGCTAGTTAATGTATAATAGTAAAAGTCTGTGATGAAAGCCACAGAATCCTTGAGAACCACTTACCAGCATCGGGCATGAGCTTTGAAAATGCCACACCTTCGGCAACGCCAAGTGAACCCAAACTCTTCTGTAATCCATCAGGATTAGCGGCCATTTTTATACAAAACTGGATAGCTTAATTTGGGAAAAACATTCATTGGTATACAATACAAAACACCACACCACAGTACTTATTAATGCTTGAAAAGAAATGGGACAATTCTAAAAGATATTTTGGAAAAACGCTTAGCTGAGTAAATTGAAGGGGGATTTTCGGGGTTTCTGTGCCCAGAGCGCATAAATTTACTTCCATTCCCCATGGGCTTTATAATTTTAGGCAAGTGGTACTGGAAAACTGCTTAAAATAGAGCAAGTGGCTATTGAAACTGAATTAATCTAGGTCAAATGATGAATGAAAAGTAAAAAAATATTTATAAATAATCGCCTGGGCGTAATATTTACACCTCTAAAAAATGTGGGAAAAGTACTAAAGTTGTCAATAAATTTGATTTACTTCATGGCGCTCAATGGGAATAAAAAGGAAATCTTACGATTTGCTATTGGCTTTGCTTGAAAAGACATTTTTGCCATAGCCTTTTGAATCGCGTAGACTAAGGTCTTCGTCTGCAATCATGCCAAAGAAGTGGTATTGGGATGTTATGTTATGGCCTTTATTGTGGCTCTGATGGTGTAGTGTAGCTGTTTTCAACAGTGAATTCAGTTTTATTTTCCTTGAAGTCATATAATTTAAAACAAATTAAGTCGTGTAAGGAAGTTATGCGAGTTACCAAACCTCTGAAGATACAATAACCCATGAAAGTGTGTAAATGCGTTCCTTTGTCGTAGATAATGGCCAATAGCCGGTAAAATTTTTTGGAGAAGGGGCACACTAGTGTCCGCAATTCACTGAAAAGTGTGAAGGTGGCAAAAAATATTAGCCGTGTGCTGGCTGATTAAACTTCTTGCTTTTGGTCCAAGCCCATGAGACCATCTGCAGTGCAAATTCGTTTGTCACGTCCCAAGTATCCAGTAGTGTATCTCTATGCTTAAACCGACTTTATCCACGTTCATCCCATAGGTATTGTTAAAGCAATTATTTGAAAATGCTACTATTTGTATGTTTGTTGAGACATTTGAATTGGACACGCCGAATCACTGCAAAGCTCAAATGGGGAAAGGTTGACGCTTTTAAACATGCGTGGCTTTTCAATGTCGTACTGGACATAGTTAAGCAGTGGCTGTGAGGCAACACTCACAGCATAATGGGCCCATCAGTTGAACCAGGTAATGCTTTGGTGTTCAAAATATGGCATTTCTTGATAGAGAAACTTTTCAACATTCTTACATCAGCACTTGAATGGTGTCATCGTTTATTTGCTGATAGCGGCTTACAACAAGTTTCCAACTTGTCTGTTCACAAGTTGCGTTAGTGTGCTTCGACCGTAAGTCGTTGCTAGACATCCGTATTATAGACCACCTCCCTAAATGTGTGCGAGTAGGTTTTGCCCTTATCTTGTAATTAAGGTATCATTTTGAGTCCCTTAATGTCACTAATAGCACATGCATTTATAAGTACTCCTGCAGACAAATTTTTCTCAACATAATCACACCTTAGGCGCTAAGTGTTGGATTGTTTTCCTTCCCCAAAACTTGATCGTTCCTGTACATTAGCTTATGCCGAACCAAAGTAGCATCCATACAGGAGAATTACTTCACCATCTATTAACACTTTTCCGTCTTACTCCTCGTCATACCTCTACCTTTAAATAAATAATAGAGACATGCAAGTAGCTGCTAGAGAATGAATGCATAAAAGTAAATCAACTTATTATCTTTATGAAGAATTAACCTTTTTGCAGTGCATTTGAGTAACGGCTACCCTGTCTTCAATAGCTTCAAGTAATATGCAGGTTCTTCCTCTTGGAAACATTATAACCGCGAGGACGTTCGACAGACTTCTGATGCTTTCAGTCGCACCACTCAGTCCTCTTAGGAGGTAAGAACAATCGTAAATCTATTTCGATACAAAATGTTTAGGTCACAAAATGTAAACAAGAGATGACATTCTAATAAAAACCGTTATTTTTATTTACGCTAGTGGAGCTCTGAACTTACTTCCAGAATGGACGCAGTTCCAGTTGTTAAATTCTTCGCACCAGTGGTTACAATGAAAGCCTGCTGGTAGATACTAGCGCTCATCGACGGTATGAGATCGATGGCGTTACCACTCTGAAGAATACAAACCGTAATGTTAATAAATTAAATTTTAACGCCACGACAGCTACAGACCACAGCAACTTCTGAGGGAAAGAATGATTATAGTTTCCCATTTTTGGCTATCACAACTTATAAGCTTTATTATTTTATTTTCAACCACAGTTAAATCTCATAATTCCTAGCTTTATAAATGATGAAGTCTTTATCAGAAAATCTAAACTGATTAATAGGTAAATACTTACTATCAATACGATATTTCAGTTTTACTCACTAGTTCAGCAATGGATTCAAGTAGGTTGGAGATCGAATGCGAAAAATGGGACCCGAGGCGACACCGTCCGAGCAGTCGATAGCCAACGTTGTATATTTCTTGTTTGGTTGTTTTTAGCATTACCATGAAAGCGATGAGATTGTGCAAGAGAGTTGCTAAAATGCGGTCCTCCTTTAGATCCCACAACTTCCTCTCAGGTACCGACAACTTTGCGTAACGTTCAAGCAAGGCCGTTGACGAATGATCAAGACCTTATTGCAGAAGTACAAAGGAAGCATATCCGGTCGTTTTTCTTTCATTTAATGTGCTTCATTAAAGTTTTTTGATATTGTCGCATGCATTTCCTCTAAGATAATCTTCCAACGTCACAAACAGCCTAGTTGGGCAAAACTCTGAAATCCGTCAACACTGTCGCTTCTTAATAAAGATAATAACCTCAATTCCACTTAAAACCCAAATATCTTTATACAAATTATCGTTTTAAGGACGCCCTACGTTTCCTGTCAATAAGCCTTGTCAATCAAAGGTTTTAAAACCGGAGATGTGTAGAGAGGTGACGAAATCTCCACGGTCAAATGATGATGTTATTTTGGAAACAGGTTAATAATAAAAATAGTTTATTATAGTGAAAGTTACGTGGTACCATTCCCATGATGGCTGCGAATTAAAAAATCAACTTTTACCTAATATTAACGACCTTTTAAAAGCATTAGCGTTGCAATGCTCTAAATCTAATCATCAGAGACGCATTTCCATCCAAAATACAAAAGGTACCATGGTAATTGCATGTAAAATTGAATCAAAATATCTTGAACATCTGTTAAGTTATTTATTTGCGTCAAAGTGTTTCATGACCTCCATCATGAAGTGGGGAACTGTAAGTCTAGATGTTACGCTTGTTTCACGTATTCCAATGTAGGACAGGTAATGATCCAAGCAACCACACATACCTTAAAAAGGCATTACGCTTTAAGTGGGAAGGAAGGTTAGCTATTAAAGGTTGGTTGCAGTCATATTTGCTTTCTAAAAATGCAATTTATTTATTTGTTTTTTTTAAGAAATTGGACTAAGACGTTTAAATGGTTAAATGAAATCTAGCTAAAGTCACTCACCAAGAAGGTCGCGTTCACGGGCCGCAGCATCGAGGAACGCGTCTTCCCAGAATTGCGCCTGATCCCATATGCGCGAGCGTTCTTTGGCCCCGATGAGGGCCTCAAACACATAGTATCTCGGTTGATGACGACTTTGCAGGTCAGTCTGACTAACCATACAACGGAGTAGTTGCGAGTGGGTGTACCTATTCACTCCGGAACTTCTGCATTTGAATTCAGTGGCATTATCCATGATAACTAAATTACAATATCAACGTAGTAAGGACTGCGTATTCAGGTGTTTCGCAAGAAGGTGGCGCTTTAGGTTAAGGTGAGCAGTACAATACAATGTCTTCAAAACAAGTCATTAAGCGTTTCTATTCTTTTCATCCTTAAGCATACCTTCATTTTAAGTACATTTGCATCTTAACTAGTAAATGGTAATGAGAATACCACACTCTGAAAAATAATGACTATATTATTCCCCGAGCCAAGACAGTGGATGGTATCCAATCCACCAAATGTAATGCTTTGAGAGAAAGCTGGTTCCCGTTCGCCAACCAATTTGCTACTATTATTATTAATAATCCTTTCAGAGATATATACCATCTAGGGGATTTTGAGCACCCAACCGCTTTTGAGACATACTACGCATCTGTCACTTTCACAAAAGCCCCACCACACGTGTTTTATAACCGAGCAGCTAACTGGGTGTACGGTAGAGAAAGAGCAAAACCTCCTGCCTCAACGTCCACCCAAAATTAATGCCCAATTGTGAAGCAGACACAACGTATACGTTAGTTTTCCTCGAAAGAGCCACAGTGCAAATGACTGGTGAAATGAGTCCATTGTCACAATCGTGGAAGAGAGCGCCGCTTAAATTAAGTCGACAAACACCCATTGTAACAACGAAAAATATCCCTTTTATTTATTCTAAACGCAAGTGACAAAATAAAGTTGTTCTACCACCATGCTTGTTTAAATAGGTTGGTAGTAAGTGTGCTTCCTCACACTTTCCTCACACATTTAAATTCAAAGTATAATGAAAGGCCATGAAAATCTTATTGTACAGTTAAAAAGCAGTGTCTCCTCTTCGGCTTTAAATTTCCGCATTAAAATTACAGCTGCAACAGTCCTTTCGGGAAGCGTAATGGACATCATGAAAAGGGTCCTTTGTTTAAAGGGCGGTCAGCAAGACAAATGGGATAGTGCCTTCACAAATTTACCTGATCTCCCGAACAGTGCATTAAGATCCGAAGTTCCGCTGTTAGAACCCGAAACTCTGGCTCTCGGCCACATCGGTGAAGGTATTGGCGAACCTGACGCGCTTGTGCTGGCGTCTAAAAAAATCTTATAGGAGTAATTGTCTCTTCTAAAGTGGGACCTGGGTGCATGGGTAATTTCCTTAACAGTGGATATCAACAAAACTATCAAGTCTGCCCTTGGACACTATGAAAACTCACACAAATTGGGGAAAAGGACCCGAGTCCATTTACTTCCTCCGCTTCCTTCAAATTTTCTCGGTCGTCTCAAGTAAGTTGTTGCACAGATGGATTGTAGTCGAAATAGCAAACTTCGAATTTACATACATTACTGTAAAGATAATTTTGGTGTAATAACTTCTTTAGACTTCACACACACAAATTTTTACGTCCGCCGCCCCACCAAAAAGCTACGTTTGAGCTTTTGTAATTATACAGGCAATTGCTGTGGAGGTAGAACCTCACAACTTTAATGATATACTTTTTGATCCAAAACACCTTTTTGCTAGACTTACACAATCGGGATAATTTGCCGTACACAGGGTTGTGGTGTTTGGAGGCTTACAAAAGTCACTTTCAAAGGTGTTAGGTGAGCTATTCAAAGAAAGTACACTTTGGGCCCCAAAACTGAGATCTTACCATTTAAATAAGACGATGGGGATGCAAAATCTAGAACTATTTAACTCATACACCATTTGCAAGGTTAAAAAATTGCCAAAGTATTATTTAATTTATTCTTTTATGTAAAATAAAATTTATTTGCAGGTCTTGAATGAAACATTAACCCTCATTTACATCTGCTTGACCATAATTCACTTTTTCAGTAAATGAATTTCCATATCAAAATTAAATTAGCATTCAAGAGTCGAAGTTTTAATTCTGCAACAGCCACTGATACTTCGCGATCTCGCCCACTGGTCGTTCTCGAGGACACACAGGACCCACCGAAGTCGCTAATCGGTTTCTGACTTATTTCAAGATCTGTACTATTGCATTCGGGAGGCACTTCTCCATAACACCGGAGCACATTCACCCTACCTACACCCCAACTCCCCAGTCATACCACCCGCCAACGAAGCACATATTGTTCTCTCAAAATTTCGGGTGTGCAGTTGCACCCAATTCCCAATGATTGCAATCTCAACTAGGTTGATAAAACTGACTACTAGACCTGCGATATTTGACGCTACTGTTTTTTACATCTTATCCTATACTAACACAAATTTCACTATAAATTACTACTGTTTAGTTTTTCAGCATTGTTGATTCTCCTAGGCGGGAAACGGCAAATATCGCTCACCAAACTTTCAGTAGTAATTCAACTGCATAACGACAAAAAGGGACAACATTTATTTGAGAACGCGCATGCAAACATCGAATGGACGCGGTGCGCAAAACAGGAGTGACCTTCGGATCGTTGATCTCTAGAAATGCTTTGAGAGAGTGAGGCTTGAAGTCCGTCGGCGGTTGAACCTCCAACCAGACTGCTGCGACGCAGCTCGGCTGCCGTTGTCCTAATCAAAGATGCTAAAACCACAAGACATAGACGAAATCGGTAATAGAAAGGAAATTTTTGCACAAAATCAATGATACAAAAATAACAAATAATTATTTATAACATGAAGTCTGATCTCCATCTGACGGAAGATGCCCATAACTGTAAGTATACTTGTGGACCTTTAATGGGCAGTACAAGGGAGAACTTTACCACCGTTTCCAATGCAAACAAACAAATAAATATTTGTATTTATTAGCACGTGTCTCAGTACCTTTTAACTATGGCTAAAGCACTCAATGTTGACAGACTGAAGATAAAGTGATGCATACAGAGTTCATCTGCAGACTTCATTTCAATTATTAAACAGCCCGGTGCTTTAAAGCTGCACCATAGTTTCGCTGACGTTTCTGCAAAACAGATGAAGTGCGTATGTTACATGTATAGGTCTGTGAGAAGACGATGGTTGACCAAACTTTTAGCAGCAAACACACTTGTCGGTGTTTAAATCGCGTTTTTAAACTATTTATTGTGGGACAGAAGCCAAATCATCCACATGAATTAATATAAAAAATAGATGTCTTTGTACTGACTTTCCAATTAGCACCCTGGAATTGGTTGACATCACCGCTCCAAACACTTGGCTAATAATTTTTCCTTTGTCAAAACTTCTTATACGCGAACAAACATTGCCACACTAAAGAATACCATGCAGTTCCAATTCGAACTCAAGGTGACTTCATTTTGCCGCTTATCCCGACACCGCTTTGTGAACAGTCGTACCTCAAAACGAACCCACTACTTCGAAGTGGGTGAAACAATTAGGAACGAGATTTCATGCTTCTAAGCAAAGGAAAATCACTCACGGAAGAAGACCCACGGAAGTAATCAACCAATGAGACATTAAAATGAAATTTCCGGGAGTCCAAATTATCTTTTATGACTATGCACTCTGCAAAGTTGGATGCAGGCGAAATAATGGCAACAATTGTTGGGATAGCACAAAAGCATATCCGACTTAATACTGCTGTTTAAAAACCATACGGTGGAAGTTGACTTACATAAGCTCTCAAGTGGATTCTTCTTCGATTTCATTGTGAATAAATCTTCCTCACTTCCTTGAACAGATGACGGCTAGTTAAGCAAAAAAATGGTTTTGGTGTGAGAGTGGTTGCAGCTAAGATGTTGGGTACTTTCTGAGAAGTAATACTTTGTTTTGATGCGTCATTATTCAGGGGTAATTCTCAAAAAGTTAGTCCAATTCGGGATTTATGCACACTTGAGCGGGGGAACTATGGAGTGAACTCAGACTTACCCTCTGCTTGGAGGTTTTGAGCTCGTGCTCGAGGGCGATAGACTGGTCCCAGAAGTGTGTATGCGCTAGTTCGAGGAGGAGAAATGCACTGCCTACGCCATGAATGCCGCGGTCTACCCAATTGCGCTCGTAGCCGCAGATCACGGCCTTCGTGAGCCACACCAAGTGGCGGAACATCAGGATGTCCTGGAGGGCCTATAAAAAGGAAAATAAGTAGAAGGAACTCAAACATGCAACTTAAAATCACAGTCATCAGCGTAGGAGGGCGATTGCGAATAAAATGAGGTTAGAAACTAAAGTATGCAATCAAGCTTGGACGCACATCCTGCTGCATCTTCCTTAAATATCATAGGTGCACACATATACACGCCATACGAAGCCCAGGCATATTTTAAGCTCTACAGGATTTTACAAAATAGGTCTGCATGGTTAATTAAGTTTATCTAAACTTATTCTCGGAATACATTGTTTTTAGCATTCAAAAAGTGATCAGCCGAGGGGGTAGGCTACTGTCGCTAAAGCATGAACTACGGGCAGCGCATTATTCGCATAAACCCTTTACGTTGTACAGATCCAGTACGTGTGACATCAGGATGATTAATCTAATGGTAGACCAAAGGCATCGCGTACTGTTAAGTATATGTAATGTTATGTAGATTTAAATGGCTGAAAAACGCCAGCACCCAACTGTCGAAAAGTAGGTGGCAAAAAAATCAAAATTTTTTCTACTTTGGACACAAAATAAGAAGACAATTCGGTGTTGAAAAGTGCCCAAAAAGCACCATAGCCAAACGACGTGAAGAACGAAAACCGGAACCCAGCCTCGGTCTTTTAAAGAGAACTTTTTTGTCGGATGGAAATACGGAGGAAAAGATCATTAAAAATCAAGAAGAGGCAACAGCAACTGCAAGTAAGAATTATCAAATGCCTTCAGATTAAAGGAGAGAGTATTGCAGCAAGTGAAATTCCTATAGGAATGTGCCCAATCACGAATAAATCTGGATACTCTAAATAAAAAAACTGTAACTTCAGTAGTTAACACTGCCATCTTCACTACAGCTCCAGATATAAAATCAAATGATTGTTATCCAGTTCAGTCCATACCAAAAATATTGAAAACAATAAGAAAACATGTTAATCAGGTAGCGCGAAGCAGTTGCTCTTCAGTCGGTTCCCAGACTTCAGCAGTACTAGTAACCGTGATACGGTTTAGGCTTACTAGCGTGTTTTAAGTTTGAAGAATGGATTTTTAAAGGAGAAAATTAGAAAAGACGCGACCTATTGGGCTGTGCAACTGCTGTAGAAAGCAGGTGTTGAATAAAGGGTGCATACTGACGCAAAACCCACCACATTGGGGACATGCAACTCCGGTTCGTAGTGGAATTCGTAAGATTCGGCGAGCAGCTTTACGAGGACGTAGTTTCGGTAGCGCTCGTCTTCCATGAGACTCTGCACCTCGTGTTTCGTGCGAAGACCCACTCTATCGCCCGACCATATGGCCTGCGTCAGCTGTTTCAGCATCTCCTGCTTCTCTGAACTGCAAAACCACATTTAATCGACTAATCTAATCATGAAAAATTTTAACACATTTCAAATAATCTGCTAGCATCGCGCAACGGCAGACGACGATAAAATACTCAGAAAAGAAATAGTGAATCGAATTTGTAAGATTAGTCTGAAACACCACCAGCCAGTCTCTTTCTGTCTTTTCTTTTAAAGGTATCAGAGAGGTAATACCTCACTTAGTGTCAATTGCTTATAAAACATCATGTTAATGTTTAACTCGCCTCTTCTCGTCGAATGACGTCCACATGAGTCTGCTAAGAGCTATCTGTCGCCTTTGACTTTGATTAGACAGTGATTTAAGTCTCTTGCTTGTCCCCTTTGTTTCACCGTCTGTAGCAGTTTTTGACGATGAATCCTTTCGTCTTGATAGCTTCGGCAATTGGATAAACTCCCTTGACTTCTGTATTATGCTCTGTGGTTGAGCTGCATAAGTAAAAAATCGGACAAAAAAGTACAAAAACGTTCTCTTACTGGATCGGATGAGGGGAATTGATGAGTACAATAAAAAGAGCCGAAACGATCTTCCCTAATACAACCTGTGTTGCGGATAAGTGAACAGTATGTTGGAGTAAACTGAGACTGTAAAAAAGGTTTTCTAATCACTCGAATAAACCAAGAATCCCTGGTGTTTGCTCAATAGCCGGACATTAGCAAGCATTGGCACTGTAAGGGAGATCAATTTACTGAGAATCTTGGAGAAAATGTTGTTAGCACCCGAGATGGCGTCCGAGAGGTTTGTTAAGAGATGCGCTCCCAGATTCAGTTCATCCACATCATCTTCCGCCTCACGCCCCACCAAACCTGTCCCATCTGCGGATTTAAAAAAAAAGACCAAGTTTTAACAGGAGTGAAACAGCGAGCCCACGTAATGAAAAAAACTTTTACATCAATTGCTGTATATTCCCAATCTCAAAATGAATTTTTCAATCTCCTGGCTGATTTATCTACTTTTCGAACCAAGCACTCATTTTGGGAAGATATGAGGAGAATAAGATGAGGTGAGTTTGGGAATCAAACGAATCGAACCAGCTCACTATCGTTTTTGGAACTCCATGGGAAGGACCCTTTCTTCGTAAGTTTATCCAGTTTGATCCCTTCAGGGCGAATAACACCTCCATTGGTTGCAGGCTTTTTGTATGCAGACTTCCTTCCAGTAGGCATACTAAAAGTTCCACGTGAATGTTAAAAAGGTGTCAATGATGGCAAAAGAACGAGCACTGTGATTAAATTATCATGCGACGTACGTGTTCCCCACCGGACTCTAGAACAAAATGAAGGAAAAACTGGGATTTATTAGTACTGACGCTAAGCGAAAGTGGTCGGTATCACCGTTTCATCACGGTAATGCCCCACCTAAAGGCTACTTTCATGTCTAGGGAGATTTTCCACAATTTTAGGCGCTTCTATTCTCGTTAAAAGCAGGTACGCAATACGATTTATTAATTCAGAGAAAACTCCACAATGGATCCCCTGCAAAATATGCATTAGGTGGTAAATAACCTACAGTTGAAGGTGCCTCAGTCGCTCCGGCAGGGTTCATCGACATCGACCATTTCAAATCCCAGATATCGGAATCATCCTGATTGAAAATAATTGTTTAAATCAGTCAGAAACCTGTTTTACTGCAAGTAAAAGCCATTATGATGGAGTAGGGTGCAGTAGACTCTACTATTTCTGAAATGCATTCCTACCTACTTCGGAAATGTCGACTCACTTAAAAGGATGGTTCACTTTTGAAAAAAAAAAACAATAAGACTATCAACAGCATCCACAGGCTTGACTACAAAAGAAAAGTATTTTCCGGAAGTTATTACTCGTTTCACACAACCAGCCAAGACATTCATAATCGGATGGCGATTTTGCAAGGCAATACGGTGATTTGCGCAAAACGTTCGAAGAAAATGACAAATGTATACGGGAGGTATGACTGACCTCCATCAAATACTTCACTCACATCCTTTATTGTGCACCTAATCGTGAGCATAAGGAAGAAAAAATGTAACTAGGATAGAGCACAGGTTCCATCTGCAAAGTGGCATCGTATCTGTCGAAATTTGACTAAATCAAATGCATAATTTTTGGGGGAAATCAAAATCCAGTCGAAGAAAAAACACACCGAACCTTATCTGAATTGTCATCACTTTCGGAGGGGCTAGAAGAAAGGGTATCATCGGAAATATGCTCTGAACATGATGGTACTGTGGTGTGATCTCGCGACGAGACCGAGGGCCGACGGCCCTTCCTCCCAGAGGCCTCGTGTTCGCGGATGACTCGAGCATAGGCGGCAGCCTCCTCCACCCCGCGCGGGGCAGAAAAGAATTCGCGGTAGTTCACTAAAAGGCTTCGAGCGCATTGCGACTGATCAGTGGAATCTGAAACAGGCGCAAGAGATCGCTGAAGGTGGTACATTACAAGGAGTCTAATACATTAGTAATGGTAATTGAGTGATTGTGAAAATAGGCACTGTCAATCCAATAACCCAAAATTTATTTGAAATGTAGTGGAATTTTTGGGGAAAAATCAAAGTTATCAAGAACAGTGAGACGAGTTCCTATGTAGTCTGTGCACAGACCTAAAATTAGGCCTAATAATTTCAAATGTCTGTAAGTAGTCACTCTAATTATGACAGCCAATTTTGTTAAGCTAACCAGCTTAAACATGATAACTTCAAAGAGACCTTTATTCCTTACTCATAACGGTGAAATGGTAGGAAAGAATGGAACGCATCCATAGATGCAACCCAAAATATTTTGGACATAAAATCCGACACGCTTAGACCTATACGGAGACCAAAGTTGTCCTAACCAAATGAGCATCGCAAATATTGGAGCCAAATATTGTGGAATTGGATTTCAAAAATGACATACCATTGCATCGCAATAATTCGCCGTTAACTTTTTCACAGAGCCAGGGTTCAAGGCGGATATTTTCAACAGCCCAGGGATCTAAGTAAATCGAACCAAACACCTGTCATTCTGTATGATATAAAGAAGATATGTAGACTTGGCGTAATGGTACCAAGGAAGGTAGTGCTATCGTCGTAGAGACATGAACTTAATCTTCTGATCCATCGTGAAAGAATGTTGAACCCTCGAATGTGTATGACCTAACAATAATTTAATGTCCCAGTTGACGCATGTATTTTTGAAAAGAAGCAGTACATCAACTCATAAAAAGACTCTCGTTTCGTGTACATAACAACTGCTTACATCAGGCACTAATTACCGTTACAATTTCAATGCATGGAAAAGTGCCTCACTTCTATTCTTGCAACATCCCAAGTGGATCAAACAAGTGTCTGAATCGTCGTAAACTTTGAAATCGACCGGAACCAGTTCCGAACAGAACCACTTTGGTTTGTCCCCGATAAGTAGTGGATCAAAAATACCTGCATGGATGCGTTGAAAAACTTCGTTTTCCGGGTAGAGACTCCACTCGGACAAATATTCAACGGCCTAAAGTGCAACATTTTCATCACTGATAAAAACTTATTTGAACAGTAAGTCAACAGAGAAATCGGTTTAGTCCATTATATTCACGGCGATCTTTAAATCATGTTAATTAACAAAAGCCAACTGGGTTGCTAACGCACACTTTACATTTATAGCTTGAGGACGCATTTCTTCCGGTAATGTTGTTGAAGTATTTTAAACCACTAAAACTAGCTCCATGCGGATGCGCTCTACTTCTAAATGCAAAGGGATGCATGGAAGTCCAAATACGTCGCCAGTTGTCGTCTCTTGTTTCACGCGGTGCAGCCGTGCGACTTGCTTCCAGGCAAACTGGCAGCACGTACTACAAATTTGCAAGTATTTTTCTAGCTTGGAACATAAGCGAATCGTGCTTCAAAATCGTTCAGTCTCCAATACTGTCCAATTCAGGAGAGTCCATTAGTCATTTAAACATGCTTTAGACCCCTGCCGAACTGAAGCAGTACAATCTGTAAACACTTTTTTAAGATTCGCAGCACCAAACTAAGGCTCCAGTAGACATTGGCCACTCGTGGTATCTAAAATACCATTGTAGGAGATGCGAACCTGCGTTTTCGCAAGTTTTTGAGTAAAGGGATATATGGCCGGACGAGACCGCATGAAGGAGGCATATTGGAATGTGACAACTGGACGTGGAAAGAGGCGCAGGGTTCGCGTGTGCTCAGTGAAGTCACCAAGAATAGCCGGAGAATTGAGAAAGCGCACCTAAATCGGAAAAAAAGTTCCTGCATTACGCGTAGCGAAGACCATCACAATTGGTCATTGCAGATAACCCACCAGGTGCGTGTAGACATAATTATGAAGGCTATTAGGTGGTGAGATAATATCAAAAATAAAAAGGGCTGTCGGTTGCACGTATTAAAGCGAGATACAAAACAACGAACAAAGCAAACGCAGTCGAGTCAAATGCCACAAGGAAAGATTTTTGAGATCAGTAAGTGAGGCGACTCCTCTTTTATAAATACTTTGTCGAAGTCAATCCAGTAAACTCGCATCGAAAAACTGAAACTAAAGACCTATAGCATGCCAGCATCGGGAATTTTGGTCCTTGATCAAGCATTCGTGCGAACAGTGCGTGGTGCATCCGTAGAATGTCAAAATTTTCTTGTAACTACCAATAATATTGGTTACTATCAACCTCATTTTGGCACTTTTACCTCAGCTTCTATAGTATTTTGCACATAGCGTTCGCTGTATTTTCATAAAATTAGTTAAAATCAATCTATTTGTAGTGTTCGCACCTTGTCAAACACCGTTTTACCTCGAGAATAGTGAGGCATGCAAAATCAGCAACTTCACTACATCAACAGTTTGTGCTCTTAGTCAGGACGCGGTGACAGCATGTAAGTTAATGCAAAAAATTTCAATAAAAACCGCACCTCATGTGACTAAAGCGTCCACCAACACAATTTACTTGCTATAGACGACGACACAACTACCATGGGACGTATAAATTAACTGCACGAAGCAAATTATGAACTTCACCAGCAGACCGTTGTTAAACACACTTAAAATTAATTATGCACGGGTTCGATCAACTGCTCAATGGCGCCAACTTTTGCAGATAAAAACACTTAGAGTCCACCCTTAAAACCGAGGAAATACATTTGCTTTATTAAATTGATGTGCACAAAAGTGGTGCTAGATGAAAATAAAGCAAAATAACGAAGGTAGTAATGATATAGAGTGGACCCACCATGGCAACCCGTGTTGCCACATCAATTATATCAACATCGACGGGAGTAACGTAGTCTGTTGCGCAGGTGGGATCTGAGGCACCGGGATCAGAGTCATCAATGGTCGGTCGTTGAGGCCGCGTAATCAAGTTGACAATGGCATCAGGTGACAAATTTGTGCCTTTTTTCATCAATTCCAATGCCTTTTACAAACGAAAAAGATTTAATGAAAGACGTGTCCCGAAAAGGCCAAACAACACAATGGCCTTTGCTCAGTTCTAGGTAGCGGTTTAAAAAGTTAAAAGCAAACGATACAAGTTTGAAGGAACTAAATTCGTGTTACAGAACAAAAGTGCCTTTTCAAATGCTTAATTGCGAAAGTGACAGAACTAGCAATGGATGCATTATTCAAATGCGCATCACCTATTTTCAAAAAGAAGGGTGGTTCGCGAAACGCCACTGGTAGAAAAAGATTGCAAGTAAATGTATCAGAATGTTTGAAATGTGGCACTCGAGACATAAACTTACACACAGCAATTGGTTACACAAGTTATTCTTTTCTTGGGTGGGAAAGTCAGGAAGTGGTGGAAGTGAACTTCCGTAAATTAGCTGAAGCATAAGGTGTTTTTTATTTAAATTACATTGTAAAACAAACATAATTATTGAAGGCATGTAAAATATAAGCGACCAAAACGTCCGCGCTAGACGAACATTCGAAGCAATAAAAATTTATTCCAGAGGCAAAGCTGCCCTAGGCTAAAGGACCTCGTGCTCTTGAAGTATGCAACAAATCCATGAAAACCCCGACATTACTTGTGAATTGGGTGCAAAAATATATTGTGGGTTAAAACTATGTATTCGTAAGTACACTTTAGTTCACAAAAAACCTCAATCACAAAGCACTAAAACTTTAAACCGAGTAGATATTGTTACAAAAAATGGAAAGCTGACCTGCCCAGAATCAATATCCACCAGCAAAATTTCTGACAATGGAACGTGCTGACCTTTTTCTTTTAAGAAACTCGAAGGTATGCCGATAAGGAAGGGCGTTGGTGATAAGAGAATCTGAAGAATGAAGATTTTTTACAAGAGCATCAGCATTTTAGAATGTCGTTAAGCTGCATGGGAGTCGTTAGTGGCTGATGCACTGTTTAGGCAGAGATTTGTGTTTTATGCAGTACCCGATCTACACTATCATACTAATGTTTAGTTTAAGACTGTTTTTTCTGGATAAAGCCTTCTTCAATAATGCCTTCTTTCATATTATAATATTTTTAAAACAAGCATCGAATAATCCGGGCATGAAAAAAAGATAAATTGCAATAATTTGAGCACATGAATTTAAAAATAATTCTTTGAATGATGACTTGGTGTTTGAATGAATAACTCACCTGTTCAGCATTAGGAAGGGACGTTGGAAGGAGTGGAATTACAGGAAACATATACTGCAATGGATAGAGCATCTTCGTCAACGCTAGTATACACATGGTGAGAGCATTGTAATCCCTTGATCTAAGCAAAATCTACAAAGGAGAAGGTAGAAATTCACAACGAAAGAATAACCAAAAAGAAGGGTAAAACAAAAAACCTCATTATATTGATATAAGCGTTACTGGAGCCACGATTTCGAGGGTCGATAAGTACTTCAGTTATACTTTATCATTCTGTACAGAAATGCACAAGAGAATACCTTTTGCTCAAGCAAAATAGCTAAGATGACTTGGAGGCAGTTTTGAATGCTCAGCAGTTCCATTGGAAGATAGAAGGAGAAATCCACGAGTGACAGACGACTTTTATCTGGCATCGCAAATATTAAAGGAGGTTCCACTTCTTCTGGCAACAACTTGAGCTAAAGCATTATAAAATATTTACTCAATGCTGATCACAACTGCGTCGTTAATTAATTTTGCTACCATTGTTTTGTTGTTTAACAAGCACAAGCATTTGTAATGGACCAAATCGTTCAGGATAGTTTTCAGAAAATTTTTCAGATGAACAAAAGTCATCTCAATGAAGCTCAGTGTATCGAAATGTTATTGCTATATCTAAACATACGTCAGAAAACCAGAAGTATTGGTCAATATCAGAAGAGTACTTTCAAAATAATTAATAAACACTGAACATGAAATCCTGTGGCGAATAATTGTAAAATGATAGGGGCTTAATACTTACTTTAATAAAAGTGCTGCCAGGAACGGGCGCTGGAGTACTCAAAAGCCGTAAAATCCACTTTTCCAACTGAACCGCGATCAAAGCTTCAGCGTTCGTAACATTTTGATCATTCCATTCGCCATACAAAAATAAATCCCAGAAATTTTCTAGATTCCTAAGGAAACAAGTTGAAAATATCCCTCATGGTTGCATTAATCGATTAGTAATTGAGGAGCTTTTTGCCTACCACGTCTGAGCACCTATTAGTCGTCCGAACCCAGGCAAACAATCAATCATTTCCTTGACGGTATTCAAGCAGCGACGAAAGCCCGAAAACATCGGATGGTGGGTAATTATGCAAAACGATATAAGAGAAATCGCGGATTCCGATCCAGCCTTAGAGACAGCAATCGAAAGAAGGGATGTAAGTAAGTATTATGGTGCTAAATGCATAAGAACTCAAAATCCTATTAATAGAACTTTTAACACAAGTATTCAAAAATCTCAAGGACGGCGCTATTTAACATACCCACTTTAAATAGCACGCGAAATTTAAGCAAACCCCATATCTTATCCTATTTTTGTCCTTATCCGTGAGTGTAAATAGGAAAGAAGATGTGTCCTAAAGCAAATTAAAGTTAAACTGTCTTACCGATAAAAGCAAGTCCTGAATATCTTCACGAGTCAAAGAATCGGGTTGACAAAAATAAACAGTTTCGAGGGGCAAAGGAAAGTCCTCATGTTCTAATGGAGGAAATTGCTTTAAAATAGCACCCTTGTATGGGTCGGTCACGTTTTCAACGTTTTTCTGTGGGCCAATAATTAGAAAATAATCCAAAAGCCGTGGACAGTAGTATTCGGCTGAACCGGGCAATGCCATCCGTCAAGACCCAAGTCAATATCACGGTCCCTTTTCTTAATGTCAGGCTACCGAACTTGACAAATTTAAACATTTGAAGGACGTTACAACTCGTGCATTGTTTCACGTAAAATCAGAGTCTCTCAGTTTAAGCACATGGACTACCTTAGTAATCAAAAATTAATTTTTCAAATATGCATTTCATTAACTTTCATTTTTTCCTAAATAACTTCTGCTACAAAAATTGATCTGTTTTGTCTACAAACATTTGTGCCTGCCCACCAATACAATTTTAAATGAATAATTAGTTAAAATAATTAGTATATTGCAACTGCCGTCTCAAATTACTTTGCTTTTTAAATCTTCGCAGCTTCCTGCGTTTTCACTGTAATTGTAGTAGACCAGGGTAGAAGGGATGGCACTTCTAGATGAAACTTTTAACCAAAAGATCATGCCTTTGAGTTAAAGCGCACCCGGCGTGAACCCAACACTCGAATGAGTCAGAGTATAGACAAAAAGATTATCAAACCCTTCCACCTATATTGTTAATTATTCACCTATATTTCCTGCAATTCCTTACATGATTTTTCCTGGACTCCAACCTTGTCTAAATTCTGGTAGGCATATTCTTTTATTTCATTAGCTCCTATGAGCAATTGAGGCTTCTGAATTTCTAATGACTTTCAATTTACTTACGCTTTCGGAAAGACATCTGCCTTCTCAGTTCAATGTATTTCTTCTTCACTTACCTTTATGACAGGTTTAAAGAAGCGTAAGTTTTTGCAACTTGTTCTGATGCAGTACGTTGGTTATTTAACTCCCGATTCTGATAACGGGGCCACTTAGCTGCTCCGCTATTGTGCCTTTGCCGAGCGGTCTGGCCTCTGGGCAATACCAGTAGCCTTAATCCTGTCTTTATGGCGAACATAGGTATATTCTGCCCGTTTATTATGTCTTCTACTTCAGGGAAGTCTCGGACCACTACATTAATCATTGCCACCTTAACTTGAAGAAACATATGTAGTTCCCCGAGACTCCCCTGAAGTAGAAAGAAGACAATAATCGGGCAGAATATATGTATATTCGACATACAGTAGTGT